TAGCACATTAGGCTGTGTGCTGCCGTCCGTTGGTGATTGCGATGCTAAACACCTCGTTTCCCGTCCTTGCGTCTCTTAACAAAGTGGACGAGTCCCAACCTGGCGAAAAGAAACGCAGTCCACTCCGCAGCGCGCTCCATTCTACGGCTTGATTTGAGGCCGTAATAGTCCTCTAGCGAGGTTGAGGATACGGGGTTGACGTTAGCGACGTCATCAGCACAGGCAGACCGAGACCGCTTCCCCCCAGGACGAACGGTGCACAGCTTGATGAGAGATTCAATATTACATCAGCATGAAGAGGATTGGGAGGGGGCAAGTAAGAGAGGGGACACCCCGAAATAGTGCTCAAGGGTTGGGGTTCTAGTCAGGCTGGGAGCCAGCTTGCGCTCGCGTTTGTGTGTTGCGCGCGGGTGGGTCGGTGGGCCTTGGTCGATCCGGACATCCCGCGAGGCGGATGGTCTAACGGAATAATTACCCACCTAAATGATAACATAAAAAATTGCCGGGAGGGGACACCAAACCAGCATCGCTTTTTCAGATAGGTAATGGTCAGTGAAAAAGAGGATAAGTCCAGACTCACATGGCCCGTCCTGTTACTTATATTGAGGTGCTTATAACAATAGACTCTCACTATGAAGCCCACACACTTTCTCTGTATTCCACTGGTCACCCGATTGTCGCGGCCTGGGCTGTCTGCGGAGTTGAGCGCTCTTAAGTCATACATTACTAGTGCGGACAATATCAGCATCCCCGCGTCCGCTGTGCGTCCCCTCAGCACTATCCACCTCACTTTGGGAGTCATGAGCCTTCCCGAGCCCAAAGACGTTGAAGAGGCGACCCAGGTCCTTCAGAGCATCATTCCTCTACTTCCCCAAAGGCCCATCAAGATCTCGCTCCTTGGCCTAGGAACCTTTCCTGGCATAGATCCAGGACGTGCCGAAATCCTCTTTGCGCACCCCACGTGTCTCGACTACGACTTCGACGCGCTATGCCAAAGAATCCGGCATGTGTTCGAGGATGCTGGTATCTTCGACAAGAGAGGCTTCAGCTTATTCCTTCACGCCACCATCTTAAACGCCAGGAAGACCGCCGACGGGGGGCTCATTGACGCGACGGAGATCCTAAGGAGCTATCGGGGACACGTATGGATGGAAAATGTTCCTCTCGAGGAAATCGGGATTTGCCGGATGGGTGCCAAGAAGAAGGGGGGTGATGATGAGGAATATCTGCTCGCAGCTTCCATCCCACTCACGACTTCGGCTGATAGATGAAATGTGAGGTGGAATTCTGATGTAAGGTAGAGCAGCCACTTGCCTGCTTTTACCCTATTAGTTCTAGATATCTAGTAGGTCCGTTCGCTAAGAGACCCCTTCAGGATCGGGGACAGTGCCACTGATTACCAGTACAGCGGCTAGTCCTCAGGTCTGAGGGTTAGTTGAACCCGAGCATGAGGTGACTTGTAGTCGGATGGGACCTCTACAGGTCTCCAGCAATTAACTTCGTGAGCATCCTCGGACCCTTTCAGCTCATCTTCCTCCGCGAATACTCGTTAAGTTTAGGACTAGTCACCTTGGCCCCTAACCACTTCGATCTAATTACCACAGCCTTCAGCAGCAATGATGCCTGCGTTTATTGCATCCCACTGCACACTAACTTAGGCATTGTATCCCCAGCGAAAGCAGGCAGCATATGCGAGAATGCGAATTCGTTTCTTGGACCTCGCAATAATGCCGTGATCGTTTCCGCCAGCTTGGCTCCTCCGGAGCTAGATGGGTACTTCCTCATGAGTTTCAACAGTCCTCGGCCATCCGTTGCTAAGCGGACAGAACGATATGTCTGTCTTACAAACGGACAAGCTACAGCTACTACAGCTCTAGAAAGGCCGTAACATATTTAGGCTAGCTGTCTGTTCTTTAGCAACTCCATATAGAAGCTACTATAGAATCATCATGTAGCGATTTGGAGAAGTCTTGTGGTCTTGCTAGTAAAGGGCCTTTGATCTGCAGTTTTTAAACTGATAATGAGCTCATGAGGGTAGTCATTGGTCTTTAGTGTTATCCTAATCTGAAAGTTGCTTGTTCGATTCGTCAACAATACCCGTTGAGTTGTTAGCTGGGTTCTCATTCAAATCCCACACAAGTGGACAACATGGCTGCATTTAAGAGATAATAGGGTTCATTTGTGGTACTTTGAAAAGATGCAGCTTCTAATGACTCGTCCCTACTTCAGGCGTGTCTGCTGAATCTCTGCTTAAGGTAGGACGAGTAGAAGGTCTTAGAAATAGCCAGAAGACAGTCGTTATTTAATAACAGGTTAGGCCTGGCTGGCTTCAACGACCCAGATCCTTTGCTATGCGCTATAGAAAGCAACCCTGATACGTTCTGTTCTGTGCTAGCTCTTGATGGCCGCCTGAAAATTTCTAAGGCCTCAAACCAGGAGTCGCATTGTGGGTCTGACGAGGTGCATTTGATTCTACAATAGGACCCCAACAGTAACAAAGCTGCAAGCTGCTATCCTGATGGTCTTGTGGTCAGCGTTGAGTGTGCATCATGGAGACAGGTCAGCAGCCACCTAGAGATTCTCTCCTGTTTTATTGCTTCACTTCTGGTGAAGAAGGCCATGAGTAACCTCATAACCACAGGAGATATCATGATATCTATAATAGTATGCCCAGGCCTCTTATCACTGTTCGCCCAGGCTCTCAACCCTGCTGGTACGGTAGAGTGATAGCTAACAGTATATATGCGGAGAGTGCCAGAGCTTACAGACGTACTCAAGCAACTTCCACCTCTAACGTATATACAGTCTGCTTCCTAACCTACTAGTGAATATGCAGTATGTGATGATGAAATTGGGCGTGGGAAGGAAGTGATACACAGTGTCTAGCAAGACTTAAGCTGCGGAAACAACCAAGACGAGAGCCATACGTCAAGAGGAACATCTATTAATAAGCTGGTTGGGCACCCAGACCGTTAGTGATGATATACCTGTATTGTCATTCCCTGCTCTTTCGCTACCTACATAGCTGGGCGCTAAGCTGCATATGAGGACCGGCTTTGGCGCATTTTACGACCTCCTGATGCCCCACAATGATAGGTGCCAGCATGATGAACAGCAGACTGGGGAGCATAGGACTCTGAGGATATTGTTGCGGCGAACTAAACGGTGAGTCGGTGTGGGTGCAGGCCGCCTTGGGAATCTGGCCATTAGCCAGGAGAGGCAGGCACGAAAGGATTGAAAGCTATTCTTCTCAACACCGCTCCCAACGCAATCTATCTTACCTTACTTTATGACATGCTGAATAGTAACGGTCGTAGCTGCCGAAGATAGACAAACGATACAAGGCCGTCGCAAAAAAAAAAAAAAAGCGCCTGAATACGTTCGGCCTTTTTCGGTGGGAGTGGCGATCGGCTCGGACCGGACTAGGGTTACGCAACAGCGCGTTTCCTCGCCGCTGTCAGATGCAAGCCGGGGACCCCGTCCCACGGGGCATATTACGGACTATGGCTTATAGCACGGCCGCCCGGCCAACCCCCCCCCCTAAATTAGATCTCCCCCTTGTACCCAGGCACCCAGGCAGGCACCTCCTCCTCGCAGCGGGGTCTTGCTTGGTCTGGGCTGTTCCACTGGCAGGGGTGGCTTGTGGAAACGCAACCTAAAGCCGAAACTCAGAACCAACGACATGATTGGTCCCCCGGGCAGAAATCGTCAACGCGTCCCTGAGCATCCTTCTCGGCCTTCAGGGGAGATATTCTGCACGTAATGCGCGCTATTTCCCCCAACGCGACCCAACGCGACCTTCCTAGCGTAATGCGTCAGTCTAGCCACTGACGTCCAATTACTCGGCTTATCTATAGGTAGCTAGCGCGCCCTATAGATGGGGTGAGGCAGGGTTCCAGATTAGCGGGCGGCTTTTAAGACATTGTTGCCCTGAAAGCAAGATGGTCCCCGGCACCTGGGATGCAAGTTGTTGCCCCGAAGGCGGGACGTCGCCTCTGTCAAGATCGGCATTCTCACTGCAACAGCAGAGGAAGCATACAGGAAACTGCTATGCTAGCCTAAGTCAAGGGCAGCAATGAGATATAGAAGTCCTTCTTTGCCTTGTCATTTGCGCCCATCATAGACCTATAGACCCTTTGCAGGCAGAGATGTGCGTGGCCAATTGTAGTACGTGCTCCTATCGAGTCGTCTTTGTTGTCTGAGAATCAGATCATACATTCTGCACCTGTCCACAGTATGAATCCTGTTAGCCAGGCCAAGGCTCAAAGAAGGTATGTGCTTTGACAGAGAGCTCAAAAGTCCAATAGGCTTCCTTAGGTATCAGAAGCTAGTAGTGAAACAACATCAGAAAGAAAAGGCTAAGAACAGCCTCAACTACGCCCGGTAATCAGTGTCATAATAGAGACTTTCAACAGAGCTAAACCATAAACACTGAAGTCGTCCTATAGCTCTACTAGTAGGGGTTAACTACCCGCTGCACCTCACTAGGGTTAGGAGTGAAGGCTGAAGCTTCAATATACACTGGGCTGCAGGAATGTGATCCGCCGCGTCACGTTTAGCTTTCTTATCCCATTGACTACTGCATAACATCGGAACCTCAGATACAATTCCTACTCTTCGCTCAGCATGCTATTCTTGAAAGGGTATGGAGTTGAGGGGAACGACGGAAACAGAATCATATGAAACCATAATTATTTACGACCCCGCATCGAGATCTACTGACGTCATATGGCAGTCGATGGGATAGATTGGAGTTTCAGCTGTAAAAGTAACGCGCAACCGTAACATTCGGAAACGCATAGGTGTAGTTACCCTTTGCATAGTAGCTAGCTAGGCAAACTAACCACCTGGCCCTGATCTGGCAGGACTGTTATTGTGAAGGGGCTAACCTTAACGCGTGTGGTTTTATTCACTTCCCCTTTTTTTTTTCTTTCCTTTTTTCTTCTTTTTTTTTTTTTATTGTTCCCATTTCTCAATCTTCAATCCTTCTGCCTCACCCTTTAGCCCGCAAACAACTCATACATAGTAGTATTCTCAATGCTTATGCAAAGTGCAGACCGTACAAACCTACAAGCGCAAACATCGTCAAGTCCGGCAGTCGTGTAACGCTTTAGTCTGCAGAAAATACGATGCGGTAAACAGCACCCGATATGCCACCGGTGCGCGAAGAAGGGGCTGTGCTGCCAGTACAGCATGTCTATGCGTACAGGTGAGCGTCAACGACTAGCCGAATTGTACGACATGCCGGGGAGTAGCACAGGAACGTTGTCATCATTCGCAGCTCCTCAGCTAGTGTCACTATCGCTCAGCACGACGGAGGATCCCTCCACCGAAAGCCCGACGAATCGCTCTCAAGCCTCGTTTGACGACGTCAGGAACTGGAGCTGGCTGATTGACACAGCATCTATGTATTTACTGGAGCCTAGCCTGGAGCTTGCAACAAGCGAAGATCCTTCGACTAATAGCATAGTGTTAAGTTCGCCTAGCAATCAGAACACGCCGTCCTCTCCGCAGTATTATCCGAGACAGCCTGATGGGAACTCCGATATCCCATGTGCGGGAGATACTCGACCCACCGAAGATGTAGGCAACAGTATCCAGGACGCCAGCCCACGGCCGCAAGTGAAGGGCGACGCCCTTAATCCCGATAGAACACGCCGTGTATATGACTGCGCCACTGAGGCTCTGAGCCTCTTAGAAAACCTCCACACGTCAGCGAGCGGCTGTCTAACGGTTGTACAACGCCCACCTCATCTCGTCGCTATCGAGGGAGACTGCAAATCCGGGCAGAAAGATATAGGCGATATACTGTCTG